GGACGAGCGGTGTGTCCAGCGCCTTTCAACGTGAGGTAAATGCTGGCGAAGTAATCGATGGCTCTTATGGGAGAAGAGATATTGAATGAAATAACCAGCCAGTTACATGTTGGTTGTTTTTCTTCCCTAAGGGATCTGTGTGGTGATGCATTTATAAAATTAACTGTGTATGATACAGACTTGTGGTGGAAGGCTTCACATCCTGACTTTTAGCTGATGTGCACAAAGTATTGCTTAGCCCGCCCAGTTTAGATACCACTATATCATATAAGTAAATAGGGGAACGAGAAATGGGAACAACCCTGGCAAATAGCGGGCTTACAAAGATAACATATTGCAGACTCAAGATAAGAAAAGATAAGAGCCAATTAAGCAAGAACAAGGAACTGAATATACATAGCAAGAACTTTTGAGAAAAGGGTCATGAAGTGGACAATCACTAGAGGGGGTTTAGGGACTACCACAGACCCCAAAGAAGCCCCTCAGAGACTTAAACTGCATGTGTAATGAGTATGCGAAAATGATAATTAGTTCCAGGGAACAGAATGAATATGTATATCGATTCTGGGAATTCTTATGCATATGTATGTAACTTTGTGATGTATACACGAATTGTAATCACATGCGTTTGCATGTTAGGTGGAATGATCCCCCATGCATCCAGCACTGCAGTAAAGGAATGTCTGCTTCCTAAAACTCCAGACTGAGTCTTAGAAGGTTCTTCTGACCGACTTTTATGGTAACGGTGATGTGCCAGTTGTTTAAGAATACAGCTTAGAGCTGTAGTAGAGGCAGTGAAGGATGCTAAGCAGCTAGTAAGTACCAGCCGCAGCCTGTGTAGTTAAAGTGCTCTTGTTGCATGTGTTCCTGCTTTGATGTTAGGCTGTTCCGTGTGTTTGTCAGGCCCTAGGTGAAGCGATGTTAGTGGTGTGCCCTCAGTTCATCCAGGGCATAGGTGCAGGTTGCTGTCAAAAATCACCTTTTCTCACAGCAAAAGGCGGATCGGGCCCCAATGCTGCTATTTTAAGTGCATTAGGGTGAATTTAAGTGTACTTCTAAGCCTGCATTTAATGCAGTTTTGGAATGAAATGTTTTCTTTTGGAGAAGTGCAACTGGGCTCTGCCTTCAACAGTTAGACGATGCAGAAAGTCATCTAAGTGGAGACTACTTAAAAATCAGTCTCTGATGTGTGGCTGCAGCAGATTTGTGACATTTTTATCTTTGTTCTGAGAATAACTTCGGGGTCGCTGTAGCTTAATTTCTTGAATTCTCATTGATTTTTAGGGCAAACTGAAACATGACTGATATAGATGACTCCCAGGCTTCTGGCTCGGATTGCCCTGATGCCCAAGAGCTAATACGCAGTCATCAGAAAGAGCCACATAAGGCACATGCATGTGAAACAGATACACGAATGGAGTGTTTACATTCAAGGCAGAAGAATGCTGCTCCTGAGGAGTCCTCAGATGAGTTTAACAGTATACATAAATCATCAGCTGCTTCAGCTGAGGTTTTACTGGACAGCTGTGATTCAGAAGTGTGAGTTTTTATCTTTAATCTAGAATTTTTCATGTGAAGAACCTGTGTCATATATCATAAAACTATACATTCTTTAGAAAATAAGTATCTTTTTTTCTTCTTGTTCAGTGATGTTTCTGCTACTAATAGCAGTGAGTACCATCCTAAGTGCTCTGTTGCACCTTCAAAGCAAAAAAGGAGATCTCGATCTTCAAGGCAACAAGCTGAATCTGTTGCAAGAGTGCGTGACAATGAAAGCTCTTCAGATTCTTCTCTGTCCCCTCCAAGTCCAGTGAAATCATTGGAAACTTCTAAGAATCAGAAGTCAAAATTCAATTTGAAAGCCATTTTTGCCTATCACTTCAGGGGAAAGAAGTTTAAGGCTGCTGCACACCGAAAGTACATGGGTGGCTCAGGGAAGAAGAAGAAGAAGAAAAAGTATGAGAGCACACAGATGCCTCTGGGGAGGCCACCACTAACAGCCTCACCTCAAGAGCAAAAGCGAAGGCTTCTGGACAGAGGTTTTCAATTCCCTTTTGTTGAAAAATATTATGGAAGGAAACATATTCCTTTAAAGATGGTTCTTGGCTATGAGGTGAGTCCTCTGTTTTGTGGGATAAACATACTATTTTTTTTAGTCTAAAAATAGTGAATTTAAACTGGCTATATTGTGCTTCTACCTGATGCGCTACAATAAAACAATGAAGCAGGTTTTTTTACTTCGGTAGACAGGACACTTGATGTTACCTGTTTAATACCTTTAAGACAAACAGCTAAAATATGGGTGTCAATGTAATATTACAATACAGTTCTCATAATATAAATGCTTTATAGTGGTATTTTTAAGATCTCATCTGATGTATTTTTTTTCTTTAGCAAGCAGCTGCAAAGGGATATTTTCAGTACATTGAAGTGCTTAAATATGAAGAACATCTTAAAAAAGCTTTAGAAGCCCTTCAAGCTAGTGAAGACTTAGAAAGAGAATGTCTGGTGGCACGGAAACACAAATATTTAGATGATGAAGGCCCCGTTTCCCCTATTCAGGAGGTGAAGTAAGTTCATCTTTGTATTTTTAGGTGGTATACAACTTGCTTTTTTGTTCTTAAATATAAATTTGTGTGTATACAGGTAGATGCATGACACCGCACTTCCCCAGCTCTTGGTCACCCCCAGCGTGTTTGCTGGCTTGGGGAGAGCATCAACACTGCTATAGTCACAAATCCAAAGCAGCACCATACAGGCTGCTGTGAAGAAAGCTAACCTCATCCCAGCCAGGTCAGCACAGTCTGCTACTCTTACAGTTGAGGAATTCAGGAGATAGTAACAGTTGCTTGTAGTAGCATGTGATTTTTCATGACAGTTGTAGGTATATCAAGTTCAGTTCCTATCCTGTGCTTTTAACCTATATCAACATTGTGTAATCCAAATGTGAGTATCCACTTATGAAAGAATTGTTTATTTTGGGTACAAAACTCTCAGCCACTTGGACTTCTGTGCTTGTAAATGTGACTTGAAACTTCTCATAGAATAAGATACTTGTCATCTGAAGACTGATCATTGTTTCAAGTGGTGATTTGTACCGTTTCATTGAAATATGTAGAAATGTTAAAAAAAAAAGTATTTCCTGAAGTTAATACCTCTATAGTTATCCCAAATAAAGTAGTAGAGTGTTTTATGGCAAAGACTAAAGGATATTTTTTTTATTTCCTTTTTACTTTATTAAGCATTGAAGTATCATCTTGGGTCTTTCTTTATGGTCAAACAGTTAACTTACATGCAATAAAGGGATCAGTAAATCAGCAAGAGTACTTAAGTCTTGTAAATGTACTTGGCACCTTAAAACTAGAAAGCCTGAAAGACAGTGTAAAGGTACAAAGCTGTCTGTCAGATACTATTCACTTTAGTAGTCACTTACACTGCTAATTTATGTGAGTTGGAAGTATTATGGTGAGCCTGTAAAACGAGTGACAATAATTAGTGTGCTCTTTTACAGAAGAGCGGAAGAAACAAAGTACTGTAGAATAAATGCAAGTCAGCTCATCCAGACACTCAATTCTTTGTATGAAATGAGTACTAGAAGACTTTCTGGGTTTTGGAACCAGTCCTCCCTGTGCCCCTTGTTGAAATGATAGTACTACAATAGTTTCATCTCTTTCTTGGGAGTCCTTTCTATCTTGAGAGAAACCTGTGGATGGTAGTGGAATTGAATTTCATACTTGTGTTTCATGGCAGCATGGAGATAATATTTCTCAGTTATAATCTTGGGACAAAAGCTGTGTACTTTTGTTACCTGAGGCGTATGCCCTTATGTTCTTGATTGTATTCTGCTTGTTTTCTAACTTGCTGACTTTCTAGCCTGTTTGCCAGTGTAATCCTAAGTATCTCTGTACTACTGCTTGTGCCTGTTACTAAATCTTTGTTCTGCTGCTAAACACTGCTTCTGTCCTGCCAGTGCTGCTAGTTGGGATGTAATTCTGCTGTCAGAAACTATCGTTTGAGAACAACCTTATGTAGAAGTAGTAGTATTTTACACCTGCAAGCTGTAGCACTTCCATACACCTTAAGAGAAACCAAGGGTTGTGGTAGGAAAATAATTCACACATTTTAGGCTACTGTAAAAGTACAGAGCTTGATTTGAATTTTTATATTTCAGTGATGATGGCGGCTTGAATTCTGATAATCAAGAAGACTTTGATGCCAGAGTAGTGGTGAGTAAATATTTCTTAACTTCAGAACTCTCTAACCTTCTTTCTCTTCTGAGATTAAAGAATTAGTAGCTAATGTTTTGAGTACTTAATTCTTGAGCATAGATCCAGAGTTAACTGTGTGATACCTGTGAATCCTCATCTGTAATTTAGAAGGAAGTTGTTCTGAGACTCTGTACTCTCCTCTTTGAAATAATGTGAAATGTATAAGAATTCTGGAGTTCTCTGAAGAGATTTTAAAGTTCGCAAAGTTGTAACCAAAATCTTAGCTTTTAAGTATCTCAAAACTAGACTTGTGAATACTTGTATCTTCCTTTTTTCTTAGGAGAACAGCTCTTTCATTATAAGCAGCAAAATTCCCAGTAAGAAAAAATCAAAGCCAGAAACGAAACGTGCAAAATCAACTGAAGTGATCGAAGTAGAGGAGGAAGAAGACTATGCTGCTGAGAACTCTGAGCTTCTGCAAGGTTCACCTCGGTGAACAGAAAACTAACAAAGGAGGTGGCAGCAGTCCCTCTTCAGATACCTTTTTCCTTGCCTGCTTGGTTTAAAACGTTGGTCTGAAGTCAGTGTTGAGCTATCAGCTACACAACCTAGTCAGATCTGGTTTAAGGTGAGTAGCTTGTGTGCAAGATGGGTACAAAACAAGACCAAAAAAAAAATAATCTTTTTGCTAAGCTTCTAAGTGTCTTCTGTGCTGTCCTGTATCAAGTGTATAATATCCTGGATTCAGTGGCTGGTAATCTTGCTGAAGTGCTACAAACTTGGCTTCTGTTAACCAATGGATCATAGAATTTATGTAATTAAAAGCAGGAAAACAAGTTCCAAATATTGTAACATAGCAGCAGCACAGTATAGAAAAGTGTATGCGTTTGCATGCGTACATATATATGCTCAAGTTAAAGGGCAGTTGGGATGCCTTTCTTTCACAGCTGACTTTTTTGAGTGGTACTTGAGAGATTATTTTTGTGTGTCTTACGGAAATGCAGGTTATGCTTTAAAATACTTCAACAGCTAAGTAAGGGTTGAAGACAGAATTAAAGCTTAATGCAAATCAAGTGCCAACAGTAAAAATGCAAAAGTGGTTAGTAAACTTTAGACAAAAGTTTATTGAAAAATATGCTTAATCCATTTGAATGATGATAAAATAAACGTGTGTGAGGTTGTCTGTTCCATGCGGAATAACTTTTCAGAAAACTAATTTCTCTGCTCCAGAATCTAATAATCTGAAGTTACAAGTTATATTTAAAATAACTGTAACAGCATAGTGAATCTTGGATTAAAAGATTTTTTCCCGTCTTGCACTCCTCTGTCCAGAATGGGTTCTGATGGGAACACGACTAAGCAGAAGATGAAAGCTCTTTATAATGACAGTACTTAACAAGTGTTGCCCCAGTGGCAAATACCTTTCTCAGAGGTGTTCTAGACAGTTGGAAACATGACTAGTGAATGCTTAGAAATGGTCGAATGTGGCTAACTCCTAGATAACAAGGCTGTCTTGGTAGCAGTAGAAATAAAGAATTGTTTTGAAAGTTTACTTGTGAATCAACAAACTTTAAAAACCAAAGGGTGATCTGCCTCACTCAAATACTCTTAACCAAATTGCTGTCAGCAGCAAA